ATAAAGATATATATGTATTTTGGTACTTTTGGTATTTATTTTGGTACCTTTTGGTACTCTCTCACAAACTCTACGGACACAGAGTGATCTTGTCCAGCGGTGAGGTGGCTGAAGTTGTTGCAACTCTGTTTGCATAACTTCTTGTTGTCCAACTCTGTGACAGCCTCCGCCTTTCTTTTCCTGCAGCTTGGTTCATCCAGACGGCTGCTGGGTCCAACAGAGACGCTCTGGTTATCTGAAAGAGTTCATTGGACAAATGTTTTCACTCTATAGCAGATCTATTTAGAAAGCAATGGAAGAGAATGCAGACTGAGAGAAATCTAAAACCCCTCTTTTTAGTTATAAAATATGAGCCACCAAATACTTTCACAAGAAAAATGACACTTTCCAATGAATCCACTGATCCTGCATCACCAAAGATTTGATAGAATAAAAACTTGGCACCAAGGAATTAGATTTTGCAATTTTTTGAGGAAAAATAATCAAAATGAATAATAACATTTTTACATAAAAGTAACTACAAACCTTTAATTGTCAACTCATTTAATGTTTTTCCATTAAATGTAGTTAAACAAGTTTTTTGGATTTTACAATTTAATGAACGTTCATCAAATAACAGGATCATCAGTGTGTTACTCAAACACGTCTAATGTTAATATATTAATATAACACCTCTGCAACGTTTGGTTCCCTAAAATTTAACTCTGACCTTTTTACCAGAACGATCAACAATTAGGAGGACCGCTTACTTTATGATCTACCCAGAAAATAAAATCCTCCACTATACCTTTAATATAAGATAACTCTGCTGCAACGTTTAGTTCCCTAAAATTTAACTCTGAATTTGCATTCCTGTTTCTTTTTCATATACCTTGAACATCAACTTGTTTTCCAGGGACAAGAGCAGGTGTCTCCATGTTGCTGAACGAGTTTAAAGGCCTCAGTTGTCAAAAAAACTCAGATCACAGTGAGACTTTCTGGGGATTTATACCAACAATGTCGATCTAGAAACGATTTGCACTCAGGAACAATTAAGTTCTTGCAGTAAAACCACAGAATATTTGTGTTTTAAAAAACTATCGTCATGGTGCCGAGCTGTTTCATCCTAAAAATGTTGACATTTGAGAATTTGGCAGTTATCCCAGCTGTAAAAAAAAAAAAAAATCATAAAAAAATTGGAGAAAACAGCAAAGTTACTCTCAAAACTTTTTCTAAATTTGTTTTTCAAAGTTTTATTTTTGGTTTGCATTTCTTTTTGATATTTGTTTAGCATTTCCATTTATGAATGAGTTCATTGGACAGATGTTTACACTATAGCAGATCTATTTAGGAAGCACTAAAGAGGGTGCAGACTGAGAGAAATCTAAAACCCCTCTTTTTAGTTATAAAACGTGAACCACCAAATACTTTTACAAGAAAAAATGACACTTTCCCATGAATCCACTGATCCTACATCACCAAAGATTTGATAGAATAAAAACTTGACAGCAAGGAATTAGGTTTTTGCAATTTCTGGAGGAAAAATGCATAATTATCATATTTTTGACATACAAGGTAACTGCAAACTTTTTATTGTCAAACCATGTCATGTTTTTTCCAGTAAATGTAGCATAACATTTTATTGGATTTTAAAATTTCATGAACATTTATCAAATTACAAGAGGAAATTAATTGATTGTGTTTCTCAAAAACATCTAATGTTAGTACATTAAAGGTATAGTGGAGGATTTTTGCATAGTTTTGAAAAGACCTGCCCTCTCCACTTAAAAAAAAAATGCACATGCACAACCCTGAACCCAAGGGGGAACAACTATTAAACACATGCAAGAGCGTGCACAAGCCCATTTCTCCTCGTGCACGCTGTTTAAAAGTTTGCATCCCTGATACAAGCTCACTTTCCAAAAAAAGATTTGCAATTTTTCCACTATGTTAGACTGAAAATAATTGGAAATGGGGTCGAGCACGCAGGACGGCCCAACTTAAACATATCACCAGAATTATCAACAATTAGGAGGACCACTAACTTTAATGATCCACCTTAAAAAAAGAAAATCCTCCACTATACCTTTAATATAAGATAACATTTCTGCAACGTTTGGTTCCCTAAAATTTAACTCTGAATTTGCATTCCTGTTTCTTTTTTATATACTTTGAACATCACCTTGTTTTCCAGAGACAAGAGCAGGGGTCTCCATGTTGCTGAACGAGTGTAAAGGCCTCAGTTGTCAAAAAAACTCAAATCACGGTGAGATTTTCTGAAGATTTATACCATCGATATCGATCTAGATGCGATCTGCACTCAGGTACAATGAAGTTCTGGCAGTCAAACCACAAAATATTTCTGTTTGAAAAAAACATCGTCATGGTGCCCAGCTGTCCATCCTAAAAATTTTGACATTTGAGAATTTAGCAGTTATCCCAGCTCTGATTCCAGGTAGCTGCCAAATTCTCAAAGCTGTAGTATTGGACTTGAAGTGAAATGAATGGGGTCTGTGACATGTGATTAGAGAAGAATGCAACTGATTGAAGTACAGCTGAAAAGGAGAAATATTAAAATTTGAAATCTGTTTAAAAAAAAATTCGAAAAAATGGGTGAAAATATAAATTTTGAAAAATAAATCATTAAAAAATTGGAGAAAACAGCAAAGTTACTCTCAAAACTTTTTCTAAATTAGCTTTTCAAAGTTTTATTCTTGCTTGGCATTTCTTGTTGATATTTGTTAAGCATTTCCATTTATGAATGATTTCATTGGACAAATGTTTACAGTCTATAGCAGATCTATTTAGGAAGCACTAAAAGAGGATGCAGACTGAGAGAAATCTAAAACCCCTCTTTTTTGTTGTAAAACATGAACCACAAAATACTTTGACAAGAAAAAATGACACTTTCCCATGAATCCACTGATCCTGCATCACCAAAGATTTGATAGAATAAAAACTTGGCAGCAAGGAATTAGGTTTTTGCAATTTCTGGAGGAAAAATGCATAATTATCATATTTTTTACATAAAAGGTAACTGCAAACCTTTTATTGTCAAACCATGTTATGTTTTTCCAGTAAATGTAGCATAACAATCTTTTGGGATTTTATAATTTAATGAACATTCATCAAATCACAAGAGGAAATGAACTAATTGTGTTTCTCAAACACCTTTAATGATAGTACATTACAGG